TCTTCTCCTAAAACATTTAGAAAGATTCCTAAACAAGATTAAACTACCCTGGCTGGGGGGCTCAGTTGGTTGGACTGTCAGCCTGTCTGCCAAAAGGTTGGGGGTTTGATTCCCGATCAGAGAACCTATGTAGGTTGTGGGCTCGATCTCCTCTCGGGAGGCAACAAATCAATGTTTCTCTCTGTCCCTTCCCCTCTCTCTAAAATTCAATAAACATATTCTTAGGTGAAGATAAAAAAAGATTAAATCAAAAGTAGGCTAATCATTTCTTTGACCAAAAATGCAAACACCCTAGTAACGTTTTTACTTACAATAATGTATAATAGCAGACTAACATAATTATGTATCCCTATCTTACTCTTTCCAGAGAATTATTTTTGCAATAATCTAAATGGCTATCAAAAGCAAAAGATAACTTATGAATGTAAATGATAAACCCCTTTTTGAGATTTTGATGCTAAATTATTGGAAAAACAAAAGCAATGAGGAATTCCAGACATGACAGAAGTGTAACCAAGACTTGCCGTCTTGCTATGAACAACTGAACAAAATATCTACGGCAATTTTCAGGCACTAGAAAACTGGCATCTTGATATACATTCTAAGATAAATCAGGTGTCCCTTAGCAGATAAAGACTTTTAATCATCTGTTACAAATTATGTGTGAGGACTTAAAGGAAAAGATAATCTCAATGAGTAAAAACATGGAATATCAGCCAAGAAATGAAAATTACAATAAAAAATCAAATGGAAATTGTAAAACTAAGAAGTGTACAATAGCATCAATATCACTGGATGGGCTTAAAGGCAAACTTAAGATAGAAAATAAGGGTTGGTGACCAGTTTTACATCTGACTGGCGAACCCAGCCTTCGGCCTCACCTGGCACAGCACCCTTTCTGGAAAGGCAGACACACAGGCTGGGGGAGTGTGGCCTGTTAATGTCAGGGCTCTTCAAGTTCTCTGCTTTCCTCCTTTCATATCTGTTAGTGTACAGGGAGAGAGCCAGGTTTGGTGACGTCTTAAACTTGATCATATTTGGGGCCCTTTTAAGTAAAATAATCTGAAATTGTGAATACTGAGCTTTAGAAGGCACCTGTGCAAACAAGAGTTCCTGAAGTCTAAACTTTGTTAGCTTCCTGGTAAAATCCACCTGTGGTAGTATATTGTTCTAGCTGAAGTCTTTTAACCTATTACTTCTAAATGTTATATTCTTACTTTTTAAATGGCATCACCCTAAAGTTAATAACAGGAATGAAATGTACACAGCATTTCTCCTTATAAAGAAAATGACAAGATACCTGCCATCACACCACCATAAATCCCTCATTTATCTTCCCTGCTATGCCTAACATTTAAAAAAATGGAGCTGTGACCAGTGTGGCTCCATTGGCTGAGTGTCATCCTGCAAGGCGAAAGGTTGCTGGTTTGATTCCCAGTCAGGGCACATGCCTGGGTTGCAGGTCTGGTCCCAATTGCATGAAAGAGGCAATTGATCAATGTTTCTCCCCCTTTCTTTCCCCATCTCTTCCCCTTTCTCTGAAAGAAATAAATAAGACCTTTTAAAAGATAAATAAAAAATGGAGATTTAGCCTGAGGCATGTTTTTTCTTGCTAGAAAACAGAATATTGCCTTGGCTGGTGTAGCTCACTGGATTGAGGCTGGCCTGCAAAACAAAGGGTCACCTATTTGATTCCCAGTCAGGACACATTCTTGGGTTGCAGGCCAGGTCCCCCATTGGGGGTGCTTGAGATGCAACTACACATTGATGTTTCTCTCCCTCTCTTTCTCCCTCCCTTCCCCTCCATCTAAAAATAAATAAATAAAATCTTAAAAAATAAAATATAGAATTATCAGTTCTCTTAGAGGGAAAAATTACATTCAAATCTAATCTTGTGATCCATAAGAACCTAATATGATGAGAGCATTATGATGTTCCCTGGAGAAAAAGTATGAATGAGTGCATGAGAATTCTAAATGAATTTTGTAAATTACTCTGCCCTAGAGGAAGCTGGACTAACTACCACTCCTTAAGAATGGAAAGTGTGCAAAGTGACTTTCTTTCAAAGACTACAGCCTGGAAAGGGTGGGAAAAGAGTACACGTACAGCGTATAAACCTGGCAAACACTACTGCAGCCACGTCAGCGTCGAAGGCAGTAAATCGTGTCACTAGCATGTGCCCTTGATGTGTTGTGCTAAAACATGACACTTCTTTGATCTTCTTCCCCAAACCCATAACTCCAGTCTCATCATGAGAAAAACATGGGGTAAATTCCAATAGAGTGGCCTCCTACAATAGACCTGATCATTATTCCTTCAAACTGTCATGGTCTTCAAACATGAGGTAAGTCTGAGAGACCGTGACAGACACCAGGAGCACAAGGAGACATGACCGCTAACTATAACAAATTTCGGCTGGGATCCTGAAATGGGAAAATGTCATTAGGTAAAACCCCAGGAAATCTGGTTTTACCTAAAATAAACAGTGGACTTCAAGTAATATTAATGTGTCAATATTAGTTCACTAATTGTAACAAATGTATAACACTAATGTAAGATGTTACTAACAGCAGAAATTGTGTGTGTGCATTGGGAGAATATAAGGGAATTCTCTGTAGTATATTCTAAATTTCTCTGTAAATGTAAAACTGTTCTAAAAAAAAACTACAAAAAGTATACTGTGAGTGAATTATCTGTGTTCTTCCAGAGCTCAGTTGAGAGAATAAAATCAGAAAAAAAATGACCATACTGTGTCATAAATTTATAACATCGGTTTGAACAAGGAGCTGTGGGAGTTGCATGAGGACTTTTAAGAGAAACTAGAATCTTGTCTACTAAACCATATCTTACAATATTTGAATCATCAGTAGCACCTAGCAAGTGCCTTGCTCAGACAGAGGCAGCACTCAAACATCTCAGAGAAGGCTGAGGAAGCCAGGTAGGTCCCTTTTGTGAAAACGACCTATATGTGGTAGATATCAATAAAGATCAGTTCCCTAAACTGCCCTCTCTGTCACCTCCCCAAATGGTGACCTCGAGTTCCAGTTCGAATTCTGTCACACACACCTTTTTTCCACAAACAGCTGGTGAGATCCCAGCCATTTGTCCTTTTTTGTGCCTCAACTTCACATGAAAGATTTTCTTGAGAAACAGCAGAGAAAATTGTTTTTCTTGGAGTCAAGAGTAGGCAACCAGAATCACATACACACACACTCAAAAGACTGGACACTTGACCATTTCAGAAAGGACTCCATTTTTGGAAGGTAAAGGGTGAAAGGTCACTGGATGTTTACATCGGCTTATACTGTGTTTATATTCAAATGAGAAGTCCCTTCAAAATATTTTAGTCAGCACCAGATTTTTCCACCGAGGACCCATTACTGAGATTTATCAGGCTAATTAGCAGAATCCCTAGTGTAGACAGAAAGTTAAACCAGCAGAAGCTCTGGCACCAACAGCACTAGGAGTGCCATCTTTTCTGTTGAAAGCTGGCTGACCATCCCTGTAGCTGAATTCCTGACTAGAGCAAGGTGAGGGTTAAATCTAACCATTACATGCCTTCATTTTGCAATGACTGCGGAAGTATTTTAAATTAAATTGCAGACATCACACCTCCACGGTGTCTACGCTATTCTCCAAGATACCCTCGTTTTAATCTGAACCCTGTCACCAGCTGTGAGACCTCCGGCAAATCACCTTACTCTTGTGGATCCCGGTTCCTTCCCCTGAAAACGAGGGCACTGGGTTAGGTCTCTCTTGTTCTTTCCATACCTATACTTTACGAATCTGTTATGTTTTAGCTGAAGTAGAGGAAAACATAAAGGTACATGTAGAGTCGCTAGCTTTAAGTCTTTTGAGGGTCAAATTATACACGCCGTAAAAATTAGCCTCTTTGAGTGATCACATATTAGCGTTGGGCAAGTATGTTTAGGACTACACTTCTTTTTTTCATCTTTCAGTGTGCTACGTCTTATAAAGAATTCTGTATGTATTAGTGATACCAGTATAGACTAAGTTATAGCATTGTTTTTGGGTTTTTGTTTGCTTGCTTTTAAAGTCACAAAGTGGAAATAGTAACCACTGAAGGGGATCAACTCATCAGCTCACAGATCTACAACTCTGCCTCTCCAGCTAAAAGGGTTGGTTTCACAGCGGATGGGGCTCTCCTCTTGGCCTTAACACGAGACAAACCTAATTCTTGTTTCCAGTAGCAGTCACCATATTTCCTCACGTTTCCTATTTGGTCCTTTATAAAAAAAAAAACCCCAAACGTAGCACTCTCTTTTTAAAAATTCCCTTGAATCATTCTTGAAGCTCCCAGCGTATCTGAGGACCCTCCAGGTACGGACCTTTAACGCTCCCTCAACCTCGCAAAAGAAGTGGCGGAGCTGCGCCCCGTGGGCGCTGCGTGGCGCGCACCTGAGCGGCCAGGCTCCCGGAGCAAAGGCGGGCGCCCGCGACAGCCGGGCTTCTTCCCGCAACGCACACGGTCAAGGCCGCCGCTGCCTAGGCGTCCGGCAGCAGGAGCGTGCGGGCCGGCCGCCTGGCCATCACCTTGCGCCTGGGGTGGGCGTGCTGCGTCTCAGAAATCCCAAGTCTTAGGTGGCCGGTCCTTCGCGTTGGAGGATCGTGGGTGCAGCCCCGAGCTCGCAACCGCTCCGCCCTAGGCGGCTCTCTAGGTCCTTCTGCCCGCTGTGCCTCCGTCCCTAGTCTCGGCCGAGCGCCCAGGTGTCCCCAACCCTGGCCCGCACCGCCGGGGCCTGCAGGTCTCCAGAGCCCGGGCCCGCGTTCCCGCCGCGGGTCTTGCCTGGCTTCCCACCCGGCCCCGCCCAGCCTCCGCCGCGCCGGGGTTCCCAGCCCGGCCTCTCCGTCTCCCTCCCACCTCCGCCCCCCCACCCTCCTCCCCAAGAGTTGCTATTTTTAGCAAATCCTCCGTGCGCCGCCACCGGTTCAGCTCGCAGCTCACAGTTCGCAGCCGCTCGCTGCCGCCCTCCCGAGCTCCAACCTCGGCGCGTCCCGAACACCGAGCGGAGCTCTCCGACCTGGCCCCCCGCTCCCGCCGCGCTCGCCGCCGTCTCCTCCTCCGGAGTCTGTCGCAGCTGCTAAGTCCCCGCTGGCGGAGCAGCGGCGGTCCCCGAGTCAACTTTCAGCCCCCCCCTTGGTTCCTGCCTCGCCATTCTCATCTCCTCGAAAGATGGCTGTTTGGAGAAGGGGAAGAAGTTAGGGGGTCGCCGGCGCGGGGCGAAGGAGGGCGCGACAGCCTCAGCAGGAGCGGGCGGAGGTGAGTGGCACCACAGCCCGGTCCACGGCTCGCGAGCTGGGGAAGCTTGGAATTGGGGGCCGGGCGTTCTCCGGATGCGCCGCTGAATTCCCCGGCCGGGCTCCCCAGGTTAACAGCATCCCAGTCGGGACCCCGACGCCGCTTGTCTTGCATCTTGCAACCCAGAGGTTTGGGGGGTTTAGGGAAACCTTTGTCAGAAGTTCGGTGCCAGGTGATCTTTTGGTGTAGACCCTGACATTTGTTAGGCGACCTAGGCGAGGGGTCGGTTGCCTGACCCGCCCCCCTCCCGGGGCAGTCCCCCTGCCTCGGGCCCCAGTTTACGTTGGAGCCCAGGTTTGAATGGAAAGTTGTACCGCCAACGTGTTGCTTGAGGAGCAATACTTAGTGGGGGTACCTTTGATGTATCCTGGGGGACTTCAGTTCCAAGTCTATACATTAGAATACTGGGTTTTAAGAAAGTTCCGGAGCCTGGAGGATGGGGGTGGTGGGCAAAGCCGTTCCTTGGCTAGTGGAAGGAGAGGGATGAATCGTAAGCTTATTAATGTAAACTGGCGAATTAAACGCCACCCGAGACTGTCACTGTGGTGACTTGAGGGAGGAGAGGACGGGGGCGTTCCCTGAGCGCCTAGCGGGCAGCATTTGTTTGCCTTTGAAGCCTGCCTTCGCCCACTTGTCCGCAGCGAGAGGTGCTGCTGCCGGAGGCCTGTGCGTCCGCGGTGTGATCGAACGGGACCCAGCTGCTCTCCAGATCCCAGGCGCGGTTGTCGGGGAGAGGTGGCCTGCGGCGGGGAGCTGAGGACGCGGTTCCTGTGATATAGAACTGGAAAATCTCTAGTGAGTCTGCTATGCTCTAATTTCAGGAAGATCAGTCGCGTTTGTTTTCCCTGCCAGGGAGGCGTGTGTGATCGCTGGAAAGGAACTTTTAGATTAGGTAACTACAACATTTGAAATCTGAGAAATCTACGTGTATCTCACTATACGAGTATATTGTGTGTGTATGTGTGTGTATACAAAATGTAGGAGTGGCATAAGAAAGGCTTAAAAAGTTTAACTGCAATCGGAAAAGAAAGTGAAGAGTTAATTTTTTTCTCTCCAAAGGGTATAACGGTGCTTATACAAAATACTCGTGGTGTGCTGAGATTTCTCATAAAGGAGAAGATTTAGGAATTGCAGGTATTTGGAGTACAATTGATATTTTCAAACCTCACAAGCAGTATTGAAATCTAGGAAAAAGGATAAGTATATAGAGAAGTTATATTAAAGTAATTTAAGTTATTTGGAAAGAAAAGCATTTGACATTTGAAAAGGCCCAAATGTTATTTTCTGGTGCTTTAGAAATCTTTTTTAATCCTGTGATTAATAACAGCACAGAATATGTTGCAGTTAATAAATGAGGACAATTAAAATATCAGGCTTGGAAAAGTGTATCTTTTGAACTACTCTTTGGGACTGTGGATGTTTATTATGGAAATCGTTTTCCGACTGAACATTTCTTGTTTAATATATTTGCTTTTTACCACAGATCATTAGTCCTCCTTTTCCTTTTAAACCACTGTTCCAGTTTGGACCAACTTAATTACCTAAACACCCAATCACTGACATGCCTTCTGGAAAGCATTTGCATTTAAAATGCTTAATAAGGATATTGTATTTCCAAAAGGACAAGTAATTTAGTTAGTTATAAAACTTTCTTGTAATTTATTTCCATCTATTTTGTTTGAATGAGACACATCTTGGGGAGAGAAGCAATTTCTTGGAATATGTCATTTTCTGGAAGAAGTAAATGTTTGCCTGTGTGTCTCAGTCACAGACAGGTGCATGGAAGGTGCAACTCCTGAGTCTGGCCTTTGGTGTCAGGCTGCCAGCTGGAGGCAGAGACGCTTCCCCAGCTCTCCTCCTCCTGAACGGATCGCCTTTGCTGCAGAGTGGGCACTGGTAGCTGCACAGAAGGCTGTGCGGAAGGAAGTTAAAAGTTGTAAGTGAAGTACCAGTTTGTGGCTAGAAGGGAAGGTGTTTTTGTTGTTGTTTTTGACTTTTGTCTCCCTGTTTCTTTCCCTCTGCAACTGAGCCTAATGAGTGGGCCTTTATTATAAAGTAAGAACAAACATTGTTTGGCTAGAGAGTGTTTGGCATATTAAATGATCATCTTCTGTAAGAATAATGATGCCCTTCTGAAATTAAAAAGATAACTTACTACGTTATCACAGATTTTATGATTGAGTGTTTTGTGGGCATCATTTTGTCTATTATGCCCAATATTATAGTAGAGAGTATCGCTTTATGAAGTTATTACTACTATATATATGTAGTTACTTTATATATATATATATTTGAGATATAGTTGGAATATATTTGGATTTAAGGAGTTTTTCTTTATTTAATCTTTATTGTATTTTTCTTGCATTACCATTTACTCCCCTTATGCCCCCTCCCCCAAGCAATCACCACACTGTTGTCCGTGTTCATGAGTCGTTTTTCCTTTTTGTTCAATCCGTCTACCCCCGAACCCCACCCCTGACTAGCTGTCATCTGCTCTCCATCTATGAATCTGTCTGTGATTTGCTTGTTAGTTGAGTTTGTTCAGTAGTTTCCACATATGAGCGAAATCATATGGTATTTTCCTTTCTCTGACTGGCTTATTTCACTTAGCATAATGCTCTCCAGGACCATCCATGCTGTCATAAAGGGTAAAATCTGTGGCTGAGTAGTACGTGTAAATGTCCCATAGTTGTTTTATCCACTCATTTACTGATGGACACTTGGGCTGCTTCCATATCTTGGCGATTGTAAGTAATGCTGCAATGAACATAGAGTTACTTATGTTCTTTCAAATTAGTATTTTGAGTTCTTTCAAATATATTCCGAGAAGTGGGATCACTGGGTCAAAAGGCAGATCCATTTTAAATTTTTTGAGGTATCTCCATACTGCTTTCCACAGTGGCTGCACGAGTCTGCATTCCCACCAACAGTTCAGCAGGGTTCCCCTTTCCCCACGTCCTTGCCAGCACTTATTGTTTGTTGATTTATTGCTGATAGCCATTCTGACAGGTGTGAGATGGCATCTCATTGTGGTTCTAATTTGCATTTCTCTGATGATTAAGGGTTTAAGGAGTTTTAAATCATAAAGCCAATTGACCATATAACCTGTTTAATTAACTAGTTTAGATGATACACATAATTCAGATTTGCATTAATATATGCATCTAAGGATGTTTTATGGTTGTGTTGCTATCGTTTCTTTTTACTAGAAGTACCTCTATTTTGAAGTTGTTTAAATATTACCTCACATCGTGCTGTACTTACACCCGTTGAGTGGGGAAGGTAGGTGATTCTTAAACAGAGATATGGAGCAATAGCTAACAAGGAGGGTCATTTGAGAAACATATGGACACTGTAAAATCCTTCTGTCTGTAGCATCTGTACCTTCTCATTAGTGAAATATTGTAGTTACGGACATTTTTGTGTTATTACATCCAAATGTGGCTTTTAATTTTTGCTTCAATGGATTTTTGTTTGTTTTAAAATGTAACTTATGTTAATGTTTAAGTTGGCAGAGGCTTTTATTGTTTGAAGCCCTTCCCTTTTAATAAGCACATCGTACTTAATTTTTATTGCACACATCCACCTGATACCTACAATTGTCTCCTAGCTTGTTTTTGGAACTCTTACCTTTCATTTGAGAGACAGATAGGAAAACATATTGTGCTTACTTTCGGAAGGAGGCAGCGGGTACATTGATACATCCAAGGTCACACACTAGAGATTCAGTGTGAAGCTGAGGGTAACATCTATATTTCCTGTGTCCTCCTATTCATCACGGCCAACTACTCTGGTGGCTGTATTATGACATTCTCATAAATTTATACAGTCCTAGGTTTTCAAAGCACTTAGCTTTGTAAATGTGCAGGTCAGCTTTTATATCAGGCCAGATAGTCGTAAAAGACTAAGTCCTGCCTGTTGCCTGCCGACGGGGAAGAGCCGTGACTCCTGTAGCTAGTGCTAAAACAAATACACACACCTCTGAAGGGTGTCCATTCCTCACGCCTCCCTGTCCACACTGGCCCCACCTTATCAACTGCATCCTGCCCTTTCATTGGACAGTGCTAAACTGATTTGAAGTTTATTAGCGTAGTTGTCAAGCTTGAGGATCATCAGGCTCACTGGTGAGATAACTCAGAACATGATGTTTTAGAAAAGAGAGTATTGACAGAGGACAGTGATGGACCGTCTACTCTAGAGCAAGCCAATATTGATTAGCGATCATGTTGTTCTGGGTATCAGGATACCCACCATCTCTTACTAGCTCCGCTTTTCCAGCTGAATGTCTAGAAATCAAAGTGGACAGAGGGTTTGTGCAGTTATCTAGTCATTTCTGTCCATGGAGATCTGGCATCTGGATAAATCAGAGTTAAAAAAAAAAGAAAAGAAACAGGAGGGCAGTTCGTTCTTCTCTAGAGAAGGTCCTCTTACAGCTTTCTCTTCATCCTCCACAATTCCTTCTCCTTCAGTTCTCTCCAGAATCTTTCAGGACGATTGCTCACGTGATTTGTGACAGCCAAGGTGACAGCCTTCCAATATTGTATTGTTAGATTCAAAAGTGGGATATACTATCCATACTATCCAGGGTGTGGAAGAAAACATTGATATTTCATAGAAATATAGAATCTTATGAGAGAGCACATGCATTTGATGTAAGTACTTTTGGTATTTTTGAATAAGCAGGTGATACTAGGAACTCTCTATTTATTTATTTTTTGCTCTTTTCCTTAAGTATATGGATTATAGGAGTATGGTTTGCTAGTTACTATCTGTTTAGAGCCCCAAAGAGAGAAAAACTCCTATTTTGTGTATTTTTTCTGTACCAGAGAGACTATAGCATACTGAGAATGAGGCTGAGAAGAATTGAAGTTGCTGGAAATGGTACTTTCTTCCCATTTCTACAGAAGAAGCACATGGATGTGGACTAGTCTGGTTGGAATGAAATAGTGATGAGGGGTATT